AATTAGGGCGCGAGGGCCGACAGAGGGTAGAAAAATGATGGGTAAGGGAATCATGCAAACGACTTCTAAAATGAGGGAAGTCGGAGCTAGATCCGTAAGTTGGGAAGCCAAGGCAACGCTACGGTCCCGATGCCAATGTGTAGACCAAGGGAGAGCCCAACTCAGAGGAACCTAGCGAAGGGAGACCATCATGCGACACAACCAAGGCACTGTACAGAGTAAGGTGGTAAGAGAGTGACGACATCTGAAGTTGGTAAGGTTGATCGTGACGAAGTCCATGAAGCTGCCGATGACGTCCATGATGGGAAGTCCGGAATGTTGTCGAGGAAGAGGCGCAATGTCGACGAGCTGAAGTGGCAAAACTGGAGTGGATGGAGTACTGAGAAGTCAAAGACATGGGAATATAAGTCAGAGTCAATCATCGTATCGCGCAGGGCGACAACGAGTGAATTGTGGACGCTCAGAAGCATCCGGCTGTTGTTGAAGGTCTACCCCAGATGGAGCAGGCTCGACTTCAGCTGTCTCCTCAGCAGAGGGAGAAGGAGGGTCAATGGGGAGCAGTCAACCCAGCATGACGAGCACGGTCATAGGCACGCACCAACATGCGAGCGTGCTGCAACTGCTCGAGGGGCTCCCAAGTAGTCTCCTCAACCCTTCCAACGTACGAGATACTCGACATGGGAAGGGTTATCGTTGGTGACTCGGCGACCAATGATGTTTGAAACGAGGAACTCCTCGTGGTCGTCCACCATGATGGGTGGAGGGCGCTCGTATGGTCGTCCAACGGAACGCTCAGACGGTCTGCGGTAGGGACGCAGTAACGAGACGTGGTAGACATCGTGCACACAAGCCTGGCGTAGGGAGTCGGGCAGCTTCACACGGAAGTTGACCGGGCTAGAAGCCGTATCACAACCGATGGCCTGGAGAATGCGGCATGGGCCAAAGAAGTGACGCTGAAACTTAAAAGCGTGTTCGCTTCGCGCTGTAAGTGGTGGGCATCGATAAGCACATCATCGCTGACTTTAAATGGATGGTCCATCCTCGATCGGTTTGCATGTGCGGCCATGCGAGTCTGGGAAGCGGCTATGTGCTCATGCGCGGTCTTCATGATGGACGTCATGTGTGCAACCCAATCATCCAGCGCGGGACAACTCGTGTCGAGGTGCATCTGTGACGGTCGAAGGAAGTCCATGGGAACACGAGGGTGATAGCCGAGGTCTCAATAGTAAGGTGACATCCCCGTGGCTGGCGAGACAACGTGGTTGCGGGCTATCTCCGCGTGGGCAAGATGGAGATCCCACTGCTAGTCGTTACGAACAATCTTTCAGAGAATATCTCCGAGAGTCCTATTCGAGACCTCGGTCTGACCATCAGTCTGTGGATGGTAAGACGAGGAGAAGCGGAGCTGGGTGTCGTACACCTTGTGGAGCCGTCGCCAGAATCGACTGGTAAAGCGCGGGTCATGGTCAGATATGATGCTCAGAGGTAAGTCGTGGTCACGCACGACTCGGTCAAACACAATGTCGACGACCTCACGTGCACTGATGGCATAGCGGCACGGAACAAAGCGTGCGCGCTTCGTGAAGCGGTCAACGACGGCCAGAATAGCATCATGACCGCAGGGGGTCGGCGGACGAAGAGGACCGATAAAGTCCATCGAGATGGACTGCCAACGACCCTCAGGGATAGGAAGAGGCAGGAGCAAACCATGAGGCAGTTGGTTCGCACTGTTCACCTTTCGACCGGTGGGACACTGCGACATAGTCCTTCACAAAGTCCTTGCTCTTTGGTTGGACGTACAGGCGGCTCACACGAGCCAACGTCTTGTGGAAACCCATATGATCGGCGGTTGCCTGGTCATGGAACTCTACTACTGCCCGGACACGTAGCTGTCCAGTGGAGGAAACACAAATAAAGGGCTCTCTGGTGCCCTGTGAACCGTGCCAGTACACAAGACCGTTGTCCCCGAGAGAGTAGTTCGGGACGGTCTTGCCACTCCGAAGGGTCGCATGGATGTCGCGATAGTCGGGGCAATGGCGGTACTGGGTGCGAAACTCATCACACCGAGTGGTGGACGGTGGTGACCAAGATGGCAGGAAGCTGGATCTACTCTAGATCATGGTCAGGGTGCTGGGATAAGGCATCTGCAACCCGATTAGTCTCACCCTTCATGTGCTCAGTGGTGAACTAAACTCAGATAGGTCGTGCCACCCCCGAGCCTGTCGAGGAGTGAGCTTCGACTTTGTCAGAAAAGCCTGGACAACAGAGTTGTCCGTGCGCACCGTGAATGGTGCCCCGTGCAAGTAGTGACGCCAGTGGCGAGCGGCTTAAACTACTGTGAGAACCTCACGTTCATCAGCAATGTAGTTTATCTCGACGGGCAGGAGCTGACGGGAGTAGAAGGCTATCAGACAATCACCTGAGCGAGACTCGACAGTACCGTCCTTGGCGACGGTAGGAGAATAATCAATAAAAGGCTCGTCAGTAGCTGGACGAGTAGGCATCAGGCGAGAAGCAGTGGTAGGGGTAGGGGGTGGGAAGCGAGGGACATGAGGATCAAATGAATCAGGAAAGGAGGGGAAAATCTGAGAAAGCACTGCTCCTACAACAAAGTCTGACGCATCGGTGGTAAGGATAAAAGGGTGATCAAAATCGGGTAGGTGAAGAACCGGTGCAAATGTCACCGCCTTCTTGAGGGCGCAGAAGGCGTTCTCGTGGAGGGTGTCCAAGGGTGGAGGTAAGGACGTTGGAATAACTAGTGTATCCCTAGATGAAATTACTATAGTAGCTTGCGAGGCCTAGGAAGCTGCGAAGTTGCTTGGCACATGTGGGGGCGGGCCACTCCGCAATAGCAGTGATCTTCGCGTCGTCCATGTGGAGACTCTGGTTAGACACGTAGTGTCCTAGGAAATCCACTTTGTGCTCGGCAAAGCGGCACTAACTCAGCTTGGCGTAGAAGCCATGTGTGCGCAAGCGGTCAAGGATGTCACAGAGGTGTCTGAGATGTTCCTCAAAGGTACGACTGTAGATCAGGATATCGTTGAGGTAGACGAGAACGTGCTGCTCCAGGATGTCCCTGAAGATGTCGTTCATCGCCCTCTGGAAGGTAGTGGGTGTGTTGGTGAGGCCGAATGGCATCACCGTAAACTCATAGTGGCCGAAGCACGATCGGAACGCTGTCTTCGGCTGGTCCGTTGCAGCGACGCGGATCTGATGGTAACCGTTACGAAGATCAATCTTCGTAAAGAAGTCGGTTGCCTGCTAGGCGGTCGAACAGCTCGTCGGAACGAGGCATGGGCAATTGTTCTTAACCGCGATACAGAGACGGAGAGTTCCATCCGCTTTGCGAACAAAGAGGACGGGTGCACCCCACAACGAATTGCTGGGTTTAATGAAACTCTTAGGAGCTCCTCGAGCTGACACTTGAGTTCGGTGGCCTCGGGGATCGAGAGTCTGTAGGGTGCCTGGTGGTGAACACGATAGTCAGGCACAAGTTGGATGGAATGCTCGACGTCGCGCATCGGTGGGATGCCGACATACAAGAACGACGATGGGAAAACGTCGTGGTACTCTAGAATGAGGTCACGAACTGCAGGCCCCAGGTCGGCCGTATAGTGTGCGAGTTCCTCAGCGCCAGCGTCAGCGCGACGACGGGGTGGACTCGACGGACGGTGGAGGGAGGGAAGTAAAGATGGGAGCCATAGAGATAGGGGGAGGATCTGGCTCCAGAGAGATGAGCTCGGCGTCTGGACAGGGTGGATCATAGTACAAGAGATCCGTAATGTTCACCGTAAAAAAGGTGACGTCGTCCTGTCGGATGAAGTGGGTGAACTGCCGAGGCGAGGTGACGGTGATAGTAGGAGATAGTGTGGGCACGGAAGGCTCTGGGGAAGGAGGATCGAGGCGTGGTGTCGCAATGGTACCTATAAAAGGTACGCGATATGTTTGTCCACACTTCGTTCTGAGAACGAGAGTGTTGGTCGCCCAATCGGCCTCGGTGCTGTGAAGCCGACGAGACCACGGAGTACCGAGAATGGAGTCGGTCACTGTCTGATCGAAGAAGCGCTGGGTTTTGTCATCCCCTAGGATGACGGAGAGGGGAGTCTGAGACCCTGTCGTGGGTAAGCGGGCTTCTTTCACCACACGTGGGTGAATGAAGTCACCCTGAGAACCTGAATCCCACAGCGTTGGGTACACCCTCGTGGAGGTCCCCAGTCGTACTGGAATGATCGGGAGGGTGCGATCAGAGTCAGAGAGGATGGCGAGAAGGGGACACAGTGCATCGACATGGAGGGTGAGTCGCTCCTGACGAGCCTGGAGCATGGTCAAGTCCAGAAGGGAGGACACAACATCCTCGCGAGTCGCAAGCTGCTCGCTGCAACGGGCTGCGCGAGTGGCTCGACGCGTCGGTAGTCACGGAGAGGTAGGAGGGGAGACAATGGTATGCGGAGGCGTAAACGGTGATGCGACAAAGGGCTGAGTACACTCTATCGGGTCCTGCGATACCTCAACTCCAATAGCGAGAGGGGCAAACCGCGATGGAGATATCGGGAAGCCGACACTGAGGAGGGCGCATGTGTACACTGCGTCGTGGCTAGGAGGCGCCACGGGGCGACTGAGCACGACGCTGGCGAAAGAGCTCAGCGTAGTGGTGGTCGAGGGCGGCGGTGTAAGGGCTCCGCGATGAGGTATGACCGTACTGGCGGCAGCGCAAACACCCACGCCGGCCCCAAATGGTCGTGCACTCCTCAGTGGAAAGGACACCGCTAGGAGGGACAAAGCCCTGAGGGAGGTCCTGCTGAGGGACCTCGGGGGGCGACTCGCCAGCGTGACCAAAGCGGCTGCGTGCCCGGGAGAGGGTGGAGAGGGCGAGCTGGAGGCGCTCGGGTATAGGGAGGGTAGAGTCCTCCAGATGGTAGTGGACAGCCTCGCAGAGGTCGAGGTCGTCGCTATGGTCACCCTCAGGCGACAGCGGGGCAACAACGTCCTGCTCACCATACTCTAGCGCTTTGAAGCGGCGCGAGAAGTGGCGGCCCTGCTGCGCGAAATGTCGGGGACGACCGTGGAAAGGAGAACGGTGCTGGGAAGTGTCGTAAGAGGAGGAGGGAGCGTAGCCAGTACGCTGGGGCTGGGAGGAGGAAGCGGGGTGAAGACGGGCCCGCATCCGCTCATGAGCCTTGACGGCCTCGTAGGCCTGCGAGGCCGATGTGAAGTCATCCCGCCATAACTCGGAGCGATACTCAAGGGGAAGGCTGGCCAAGAAGCGATAAATAAGGGCAGCCTCGAGGAGGAACGTCACATCACAAATGAGGTGGGCGTCCTGAAAGACCTGGATGTGGTGGTCCAGGCCAGCAGCGCCACCAGAGCCGGACCTGCGTGTAGTGACGACACGCTCGAAGGCGTTAGTCACGTCGTATCGGGCTCCGAAGCGATCCTCGAGGAACACCTGAAAATCCATGAAGGTCGGGGTCCGGCCCTCACGAAGGGAGTGAGTGTAGAAATCCTCCCAGGCGTCGAAAGGACCGCCGCGCAGGCGTGTGGAGAGGTGAGCCACCCACGTGTCGGGTGGGATGCCTATGAGCTGGAGCGTGCGGGTGGCAGACTGCAGCCACCCAGACACGCATATCCTTGTAGTGTCATACAAGGCAATGTCCGTCAAGCGGACGAGTGGTGCGCCACCGTTTTGGCGGCGAGGAGATCGAGGAGCAGAGGTCGGCCTTACGACCGAGTAAGTCGGCGCAGGTCCTGGAGAAGGGGGTGCAACTGACTGTACGCCCGGGCCGCATGGTGGAGCAGCGGGGCCAACAACGGCAGGCTGCGAGGGAGCTGTGGTAGAATAGGTCGCAGCAACCGAGGGAGTAGGAAGGAGGTAGGACGGGGGTGGAGGGGGTACAGGGCGGGGGAAGCGAGCCTGCATGGATGGAAGAGTAGAGGAAGAAGGGGGTGTGCCCGAACGAGCAGCCAACTGTGATGGTAAGGGTGGCTGAAGGTGTAAAAGGGGGCGGTCGGCGCGGATCTGGGCAAGCTCGGCCACAAGACGGCGGACATAGATCGAGAGAGTAGTAGGAGGAAGAGTGGGGGAAGTAGACGCACGAGCGGCGCGGAACATCCCATGAGGGGGAGAGCCAGGTGGCGTTGTGGGGAGGGAGAAGCGGGGCACCCGAAAAAGCTGAGACTGCGGCAGAGGGTTGTGGTCCCGTGGCTGTAGTGACCGGAATCTGGGCGGGTGCACCTGTAGGGTGAGGGAATGCCTGGCCCGTGGCGGGCGTCGCGCTAGGAGCGTGGACGGTCACCACGATGGTCGGGTCGGGAGCAGTGGAGGAGGAAGCTCCGTCGTGGCCACCATGTAGGAGGACGGGGGACCCAAACTGGGAGCCAAGGGAAAAGAGAGAGTGGGGAGAGGAAGGACGGCCAGCGTCCTGAAGTTGCCTCAGGCCAACAGCAAGTGTCGCCACCTGCGCTTGTAAGGGTGCAAGGAGGGAGGTGAGGAGGGTGTGTAGATCCCCCTGGGGCTGATGGCCCTGGTCCGCCAGCACGAGTATGGAGCCCGGTGCCAAGGTCTTCGCCGCGTCGGCAGCTCGTGACACATCGTCGGCCATGGGAAGGTGACGGGCCGAGCTGGAGAGGGCCAGAGGAGGTCCGCGTAAGCGGAGGGCGTAGGGGGGGGTCCGCGATAAAAAAACGACGGGCGACGCTAGTGAGTCGAGCGCGGGCGCCCGCAAAGGGGGAAGGGTGGCTCGGGTCCAAGGTGCCCGAATGGAAAGGGGAAGTAGGGGCATTAGGAGAACCCTGAACCCTAGAAAAACCATAAGAAAACCCTAACCGGGGTTTGAGTGGTTAGGGTAGGGTATCGATGACCTAATCAAGAAAAGAGAATAGCAACCATGGAAGTGGAGGGGAAGAGAAAAATAAACAAATAATAAAAATAATTAAAAAAATAAAAAAACAAAATGTGAAGAGAAATAATATTTATATTTTTTCCTAGTTTGTTGGATCGGACGTCCGGGACCCCCCTGACCGTCCGGGATGTCCGACCGGACAGGGTACGTTCGACCTAGCACAAAAAAAAAAAAAAAAAAAAACATCTCAGAAAAATCTGAAAAAAAATATATGTTATGTAACATAACAACACAAGCAACTTTTGCCTTGGAGTCATGTTCAAATTCGCAGCCAATCATGAGTTAAAAATAAAAAACCGAAAAAAAAATATATATATTTTTTTCGAAAAAAAAATAATTTGTTTTTCTGGACGACGGGGGTACCGAACGTATGGGGAGATGTCCGAGGGAGACGACCGGCCCCCGGACCATTGGTAACCTAGATTTTTTCAGAATTTCTGGCAACATTTCCCTACCCCCAATGGGGTCAAGAATGTGCCAAGGGAAAGGAGAGGCCAAAATAAGCACTCACTTCCAAGAGGTCGCGTTATGGTGCGAAGCACAGAACGTAAGATCACTGCCTTTCTTTTTCCACAGTGATCTTTCAGCTTCCCACTTTCATTGATTTCACGCGCAATGTGTTTTTTTTGTCGAGTTCCGGATACACATAAACAAAACCCAATAGTACTGGGAACGTATCCTGCACTAGGTTTCAAAATGCCGCAAATTAAAATTAAAATAAATAAATAAATAAAGAAATAATAAAGAAATAGAGAAATAAATAAATAAGTAAATGAGGTGAAGAAAAATCAAGTGTTGGATTTTTCAAAATTTTCGGCAACATTTCGTTACCCCCATGGGGTCGAAGTGTGCCGTCAAGAAGAAAGGCCAAGTAAAATGAGAAAATTTCGACAGCACTTCGTTACCCCGAATCGGTCAAAATGTGTGCCGAAAGCAAGAATTACCAACTCCTAATCAGATTTTAAGGGTGCCCCAAAAACATTTGAATTTTCAGAATAAATAAAAATAAAAATAAAATAAATTAGAAAAAAAAAAAGGTGGGGAATAAGACAATTCAAATTTTTGGAAAAAAGAGGAAATATAAATCAAAAGGACAATAAAAAGAAGAAAAACAGAAAAATTTCGAAGTTGGGGGGAAGGGGGGATGAAAAAGTGAAGGAGAAAAGAGAGAAATAGGTGAGAGAGAAAAAGAGTGAAGGGGGAGATGGGGGAAGTGATGGGGTTGTAGTTGGGGGAGAGGAGGGTGAGAGAATGGGAGAGAAAGGGATGGGAAGGGTGAAGAGGGATCAAGAAGCAAAGAGAAAAGAGGAGAAATAAAATAAAATAAATGAATAAAATAGAGTAAAATAGTGAGTGGTGGGAGAAAAGGTGGGGTGGGGAGAGGGGTATGAGTAGTGAGAGTGATTAGAAGGAAGTGAGTGAGGTAGATGAGGAAGAAGTAGAGGGGTTGAGTAAGAGGAGAGAGAAAAGGTAGAGAAAGTGGATTAGTAGGGAGAGTGAAGAGAGAGATGATAACTGGCCCTTGGTGTCTCCAAGGGCACAAGGTATACCAAGACCAGAAGGGTCTTGGCCTTCACTGCAGCAAGCCAACTGGAGGAGGGAAGCGGCTGAGATCTTGATCAGCCCCTAGCAGCAGCACTGCAGATCCAGGGTGTGCTGTGTAAGCAGACCCTCACCACTGTAAAGCAGCCCCTGATCAGGGGGGTCTTCACGGTCCACAGCAGCCTGCCACGTGGCACTGCAGATGGCCACGGGCACAGGCAGCAGCAGCCACGGTGTCTCCCCACCGACCGGGGGGGGGGGGGGGGGGAAATAGCTGGCAAGGCACGTCTTCAACACCGGCATGCCGCCTTACCAGCCCATGCACCTGTCTCTTATACACATCTAGATGTGTATAAGAGACAGGCGGTAAATAGCTGGCAAGGCACGTCTTCAACACCGGCATGCCGCCTTACCAGCCCATGCACACACTGTGGCTAATGTGTTATAGAGGTGGCTGCGCACACGCACGGCCAGCAGCTGCCCAGGTTCAAACCCTATCAGCTGCAGCATCCCGGATCTTGATAACAAACAATCCGGCAGCGGGGCGGGGCAGCGGGGCACGTGGCACGTGCGTGTGCGGCGGCCTTGGCCTTGGCGCACGCGTCGTGATGCCGCTTCTCTTTCTCGCCACGTGGCACACCTTTGCTGCTGCACATCGCATCACCTTTCTCCCGCTGTTTCCCGCTGCGAACAGCCGAAAAACAGCCAAAAACCCCACCGTCGGGTTTTGCTTTTTTCCCTGCTGTGCGGTGTGGTGGGTGGGAGCGGGGAACGTTCCCGCTCCGATACCAGTGTGGCGGACCCACCAGGTGTGGTGCTCCACCTGGGATAGAGATGGAGATGGAGGATGAGAGTGGAGCAAGATGGCACAGCGCAGCTCCCACGCGAGACTCCAACGCACGTACTCCAAAACTGTGCGAATGCAGAATGATCCGAAATACAGACTCTGGCTGGGGTATACCTCAGCGGACTGACTGGCCTGGACTGGACTTGCTGGTACCGACAGAGGTACCCGCCTGGACAGGACTACCCCGAATACAACACATGCCTGTGAGAACAGGCCAAGGGGCTGGTCTCACAGGCCAACCAGAGGTCCGCTACACTTCAGGTAGAGGCTCTACCGCATTTGCAGTATGCAAGTATGGGCGACATGCTGCTTGAGCAAGTGCTAGCAGCCTGGGCACTGAAGAAAGAGGGGCACAGGTAGAAGCACCGCTGGGAGGAGGAAGAAGGCCGGGAGCTTCCACCTCAGCTATGATGAAACTCAACCGGCAGGAGGAGGGGGAAGAAGGGGACTGAGGAGAAGAGTGGTGACATACCTACCTGGCTATGGTAGACGTCATCTTCACCACCTCGCTGCCTCTGGAAGGCCGCAGTGAGGGTTGCGGCACACCAAGAAGGCTTCAAGGCAGAGTCGGGCATCGTGGCCTGAGCAGCAGCGGACATAGCTGCTTTGTGTTGTCTTTTGCACACCAGGGCTAGGAACTTAGTAGTCCGCCATAGCCTCGGCCTGGTTGAGGAGGAAGAAGATGGAGCTCATGGCTATGGTGGACCTCTTGTGATGCCAAGCAGTAGAAGTGGGATTCAGACATTGATTCTGGTTCTGCAATTAATCATTATTATGTTTGTTTATTATTGAATAAGAGGGGAGGAGAAAAGGAGTGTGGTTGGCGAAGAAGGGGGGATTATCATTGGTCATTTGGTGTACATCTTCTTCTTCTTCTTCTTCTTCTTTCATCTTCTTGTTCTTCTTTCTCTCTCCCTCCTCTCAAGTTCATTCATTTCTTTTGCAATTGGACAGCATTGTGCTTTCTTGTGAATTTTGCAATTCATTGTGCCAGGATCGTAACATTGGTTACAAAACGGGCCCCATTTGTGCGCAGAGAGCACCCTCATCATGACTGTATCCGGCCTGAAAATGGACTTCTGTGCGTTCCCCATCGAAGGTCGTGAACTTCAGTGGGGGGCCCAAGGGAAGTGTGCTCAAACGTACAGAAGTCCGTTTTGGCTGGATACAGTCATGCCGAGGGCTCCTGGAGGTGTTATCCGACCTCTGGAAGGCACGCTGCGAACCTTCACAAGTTTTACGTTCCATTTGAGTTCACCAGCACCAAAGCAATTGTGGGCCTAGGGCGCACCCACTGAAAAATTTTGCTCGGCCATTTCCTCAATTTCTGCGGGGCAGGGGAACCTCTATTCAGCCTCCCCCCAGCTTGTTTTTTCGGGTGACCACGATTTTAGCCGATGTGGCACACCACATCGCACGCCACATGCACAATGCGCAGTACGGTATGTGTGCGCGACTGGCGGTCACGTGATGCGCCGCAAGTATGCTTTGTTTGTTTTTCATGGTTGTAAGGGCGGGAATGGTTGTAGGCTCACCTGATGAAGAGGAGGCGTGAAATAACACATTCATTTTCTTTTTTGTTTGTACTTTTAATGGTGGGAAAGGGTGCAGTCTCACCTGATGAAGAAGACAGGGGTGACCCCTGAAGGAAGGGCTCATTCTCCGAAGGAATTCTGCGACTTGATCGGGATAGTCACACGCGAATGCGCGAGGCACAATATCTCGATGCATCATGACTGACAAAATGAAATTTTGGGGAAGGCCCAATTTACGGAGGAGATGATCCCCGCCACACATAATACTTGGGGCACCAAACGTGTGGACAGGCTGCAGCACATTCTTTGGGACAATGCCACGGGCATGACACATGAGTGACAACAGCACTGCAAGACTACCCCCAAGCGAGTGCCCACACATCCTGATGTGCGCCATGTTCTCGCCATGAGATCTTACGTGCCCGGTGATGAAAGGCAGGAGCTGCTTAAACAAGCCCTGCGCTGCCTCATAAATTCCCCGATGAACGTGCACGCCCAAGGCTGGATCCTGCTCATTCCAAGTGTAACACCACCAGTGGATCAGAAGCACAGCCTCAAGCGTTTAGCTAACAACCCAGAGTTGATTCACAGCAAAATACTCAGACAAGCAGCAATACCGTCAGTGACGAACAGACGAGCCCACCAAGCAATCAAGCAAGCCAAGAGACAAGACACAAGGATAGCAGGTGAGACAAATAGACGGCCGTCATGAGCTGCACTAAGACATATCTGATTACAAAGTGAGCTGGATCCATAGCCAGAGAAGAATAGCTAACTAGAATAACTGGCCAACCAGAAGAGCTGGGGTAGTGCTGAATGGCAAGTGTGATGAATAGCCAAAACTGATTACAGCCTGGGAAAGCCACTAGCTGACAATGAAAGGCTGCTAAAATAGCTTTTTCCTACTCACAAAGCAAGTGAGTAGACAAAAGTTCAAAAACTGATTGACCAGCCACAGCTGAGCATAGCGAGTCCTGGACGAAGTACAATAGCAAGTAAGATGGAAAGATTTGCCGCACATGAAAGACCAGCTACGTACAATCCAACTTGCTGGATTCCATTTTCATCCCTGCACTCGAACAAACCAGTTGAACGTACCCCTCCTCTCCCCCTTACTTTCAGATTAGCCAGAATCTCCTGTTTGGTTTGGCTTTGCCAACCAGAAGTAAAACCAACGAGCATTCCCAGTGCGGGCGGAAGCACGCAAAGACATGGCAAGAGGATAAATTCTGTTGAAATGAGTAACACGTGCCATACAGAATCATTTCTTATCAATTTCGAAAGACACAAATCAGTTTTACAGTCCAGAACTGACATGAGCAGCATGGAATTCTAATCCATGCTCTCTCTCTCTTCTCTGTGTGTGTGTGTGTGTGTGTGTGTGTGTGTGTGTGTGTATGTCCAACCCTCTCTCTCTCTCTCTCTCTCTCTCTCTCTCTCTCTCTCTCTCTCTCTCTCTCTCTCTCTCTCGCTCTCCCCCGCCCTTCCCCCTGATAAATCCAGGGTATTTATGTGTGCGCGCGCGCACACGAGAGAGAGAGAGAGAGAGAGAGAGAGAGAGAGAGAGAGAGAGAGAGAGAGAGAGAGAGAGAGAGAGAGAGAAACGATTTGTAGTTGTATGTGATGATCGCATCAAGAAATGATAGTTAGTCACTATCTAGAGTCGAAACCAAATTGAACAGAAATAATCATGTACAACACAGAAAACAAACATTTGTTTTATTTCTCATCATTTTCTCTCCCGAGCAGAAAGACTACCGGCCAACACAGATCCCATGGATGGATAGCGTTGAGAAAAAGAATTGGTCCATGGCGGCAAGATTAGCCACAGAGAGAGAGAGAGAGCAACAAAAAAAAGAACAACGAAAAGGATTGTCCCACAGAAACGCACATGTCCGTCATGTTAACGTCCGTGATCTCACTCCCCATGCAGATCTCTCTCTCTCTCTCTCTCTCTCTCTCTCTCTCTCTCTCTCTCTCTCTCTCCGGGTCCCGTCATCACAGTGCACGCATCTTTGTGCCTCACTTAGCTACAAAACGTTTCACACACTTCTGGATGATTGCGTAGGTCAGATACATTCAAATTGATCCAACCATTTGAATGCATCGGGACCATTACGATTTTCAGATATGTCAAATGTGTAGTGGAGCTCTCTCTCTCTCTCTCTCTCTCTCTCTCTCTCTCTCTCTCAACACATCCAGAGCACGCACGAGTGCTGCACAATACACAGCTCTCCCTCTTTGCGAGGATCCCAGGTCCCAACTCCCTCGACGCTCCCACCATCTCTGCCCTGCAGCCTCCTCATCCTCCCCCTCGAATGGGAAATGCCATGCAATTCTTGTTTTTCAGCATGTGATTCTTGCCGTCCTCCCCCTTCTCCTCCTCCATCCTCCTCCCACCTCTGCTCTCGTCCTGTCGTGGCACGGCGCTCTTTTTCCTTGCTGTCATTACCCATCTCCTTCCTTCTCCTCCCTCCTCTCCACTCGTTCTCCTCCCTCCTCATTTCGCCTCCTTCCTCCTCCTCCCTCCTCCCCGCTCCTCCTTTTGCTTCCCGTCATATGCCTCTGTTGCTCGTCCTAATCATCATCCTCCCTCCTACCCATCCTCCTTCCTGCTCCCCCACCTCCTTCCTCCTGCCTCCTCTCACTCCTCTCTCCTCCTGTCGCGTGCCATGTAGCGCACCCGCATGCGGTTGTCTTTTCATCTTGTCTTGTCCTCGTCATCCTCCTCCCTCTTTCTTGGCTTGTCTTCCTCCTCCCTCTCCTACCTCATCCCTCCTACGCATCATGCCATGTGACACAGTGGCACGCAATTTTTTTTTCATTTTTTCTCGTCATCCCAATCCAGCCCTGCACTCCTCCTTCCTCCTCTCCCCTCGCCCTGCTTCCCTCCTCCTGCCTCCTCCCTCCTTCCTGCTTTCGCCTCCCGTCATGTGGCACATGGCACAACAGAGCATGTTTTGTTTTGTTATTGCTCTTGTGCTCATCATCATCCTCCCTCCTACTCATCCTCCTCCCTCCTCGTCTCCATTCATGTGCTGAAATATAGACCTAACTGACAGGCGTAGTTCAGTCGGTGCACCCGTGAACTGTTGAAATGCACGCGTGAGCTTGAACGCAGAGAGAGTAAATGAATGAAAGAAGAATTCTGAATTATGTGGGGCCCGTCAGTTCGACAATGATATCTCGAGGCCGTCGCCCTTTACAAAAAATAAAAAGAAGGAATACAAACCCAAGTTCGATTCCAGATTACCAGAAATAGGAAAAAAAAGAACACACAAACGCATCCCCTCCCTCCCTCCTCGTCTCTCTCTCGCTCTCTCTCTCCTCCCTCCCCATGCAATCTTTTGTTTTCATCGTGTGATTCTTGAAGTTCTCCCCCTCCTGCCCCTCCTCTCTCCTCCTCCCTCCTCCCCCCTGCTGTCGAGGCACGTCATTTTTTTCTTTTCATCCCCATCATCCACCTCGCTCCTCCTCTTTCCTCCTTGTCTCCCCTAATGTTCCTCCCTCCTTTCTCCTCCTTGTCCCCCTCGGCCCTCCCTCCTTTTTCGCCTCCCGTAATGTGCCACGTTGCACATCCGAATGCGTTTTTCTCTGTGTAGGTCGAGCCTCTCTCTCTCTCTCTCTCTCTCTCTCTCTCTCTCTCTCTTCCTTGTGTCCCGATGTATCTGCGTCTGCAACATGCCTGCCGTGCTGTGTGTGTTACATGCTGCGCCTGCACACGAGGGCCATTTTCCAGGCCCTGCATCCCTCAGGCTGGGCCTACAGGCCCCGTGTCTGTTCAGCTCGAAAGCCTGAAAAACAGGGGCCTACAGACCCTGTGTCGTTTCAGACTAAAAATGGCAGTAGCCTTTTTAGCCTGAAACGAAGGGCCATTTTCGGTCTGTCATCAGACCGACCTGCCCTGAAACTCAGGCACCGAACCAGGGTTTTGGGAACAGGCTATTTTTGGCCTGTTCCCACGACAGCTGCAGCGCCAGCCCCTGGCTCAGTTCGGCATTGGCAAGAGCAGCCTCCTGGACAGCCCGCCCTGCAACTGCAGGCAGTCAGAGGCAGTCAGGAGGCAGGCCGAGCTACACTTCACGGGTAGGCAGGAGGCAGTCAGTAGTCTTCAGGATTCGGCAGCAGCACTCTGGAGGAGCGCTGCAGGAGTAGTGGTAGCATTAGCAGTAGTCTTCAGCGCTGGGCACTAGTAGCGTTAGGTGTAGTCTTCAGCGCTGGGCGCCATAGCTAGAATAGTACTAGAGAGAGAGAGAGATTGGGCGGAGGCCAGGGATACTCACCTCCAGCGCCGTTGCTCCAGCTTCGTCTTCGAGGTCCCTGTAGCACAGCGCCAACTTCACAGGTTAGTACCTGGCTCGTGAGAGAGAGAGTTCTTCTTCTTCCTCTTCTCAGTCCACCATCTCCTTCTCACCCTCTNGAGAGAGAGAGAGAGAGAGAGAGAGAGAGAGAGAGAGAGAGAGAGAGAGAGAGAGAGAGAGAGAGCTTGGTGACATTCGGATCCAGACTCGACATTGGACTTCAGACATTTTGAAGAGGGATTATTTGGGACTCATAACGAGACTTGGTGTTGAAGACTTTTCCATCTCCCCCTTCCTCTTCGTCTGATCCCTTCCTCTTCGTCTGTGTATGTCTGGACCTGGCGCTTCTTCCCTGTGTATGGCGCCAGGCTCCCTTCACACCTCATGATGAGCATGGTGTATGTTTGGTCTGCGTTGAAACATTGATTGGGCTAGTCAGTAGTATTCTAGCATTCTGCTTCGCTATCTTGTACTACGTGACAGAGGTCAGTCTCGGTCAGGTCAGGTCTTGTATCTAAGTCTTCCCTGCGCTATAAAGCACCATTTCGTATGTATCGGAATGCACATTGCTTGTTGAGATTCTACTTGCACTGCATTGTCCATTCAGTCCTTTTTATCACATTGCGGATCCTCGGTTTGTATGTAGATTGCCCAACTGGGCATCTAACAGTTGGTATCGGAACACCGCACGTGAATCAGGACAACCTGATCTGACACGTGTGGGGGGACTAGGTAGCTGATTAGTCTTGATTGATTGATTAGAGCACACTAGTTGGCCCCCCAAATCACGATTTTGACAACATTGCCGAAAAACAGAATTTTTTTCTTTTCTTGGATTTCATTATTTCTGCTGTGGAAAATCGCAACGGCGCAACATCTGAAATCTCCGTTTTCATTTTTCTCCAGAAAATTCAAAATCCGAAATTTCGTTGTTGGAAATCCAAAATGTCTTTTTTCTCGAAAATTTCGATTTCCTGTTGCATTTCCCGTTATTTGGAAATTCGGAATATTTTTTTTCCGAAATTCGTTTCTCCGAAAACGATACGGGAAATCCCTCTTGCAGTACCATTTTCCAAACTGCGAATACCCTCATCTGAGTTAAGTCCGAATACTTGGTATTTCTTTTGGGAATTTTTTTTTTCTTCGCAGTTCAATGTTTCATTGGCAGTCTGAAGTTCGAAAATTTGTGGGAGACCTGCTGAGCTTG